ACTGATGACAGAAAGATAAGTGGTAGTGCAAACAATGCAGGTGAAAACATAACATGAGAAAGAGATAGTCATAGATCAAGTGATGGGCAAAACAGTAGAAAATAGATTTCACTGTAGGTAAATGTGAGGTCATTCACTTCAAAAAAAAAACTGAGCAGGGTACTTTCCAAATGGTGAAAAAGCAATAAACCCAGGGGCCCAAGTCAACAAAGCATTAAAATGTCACAAATAGAAATTGAGAGGGCTTGAAGTACATGTCATTAGAAGTCATGCTTCAGCTCTACAAAACCCTGGTTAGTCCACTCCTGGATGACTGCTAACAGTTCTGGGCAACATTCCTTTAGAAGGATACAGTGGCCTTAGAGAGAGGGAAAGCAATGCAGATTTTCAAACATGACACCTAGCTTGCACGGGTTGAATTGTGAAAAGAAATTGCACATACTAGGGTTGCATTCCCTAGAATTGAGAAGTTATGGAGTGATTTGATCAAAGCTTTCAAGATGCTCAGGGGAACTGATAGTGTGGAGAAAAACTATTTCTCCTGGCTGGGGAATCCAATGTGGGCATAGTCAAATGTTAGAGCCAGAGCTTTCAGGTATTCAATCAGTAACCACTTCAACATGAAAATGGTGGAAGAGGTTTGGATGTCACTTCCATAAATGGCAATGATGTTGGTTTTAAACTAAAGAAATGATTGGAGATAGATAATCTCGTCTGACAGCCAATAATCTGCCTTTGTTAGCTGTTGTTAAAGTGAAGTCAGTGTGCTATTTGACACTCCACATTTCTTCTGGAAGTCCCTGTAAATAACATGCAAGATTGTAAGGGGCTGTTCTGGTGCAGTGGTAGTGTCATTACCTCAGGCACAGAATGAAGTCCCACATGGTCCAGAGATGTGCCACAACACGTTTGGATGGACTGTTAACAGAAAGAATATGTGAAAAAAGATAGGTATTTGGGTTAAGTTGCAGATAAGCTATGATCTCTTAAATGGCTGAATGTGTTCAAGGAGCTACATGGATTACATGGACTGCTTTTAATGTTTCTATGTTTCATTTGGCAGGAAGTTTTTTTTGAAATTGTGCCATGATGGTAGATTCCAGCTCGCAACCTAGATCAGGTGATCACTCTTACCTATCCATCCTTGCTGGCAATCACATTCATACTTCTCGAGGGTAATGAGACGGCAGGTTCCTTTATTTTGGCAAGGATTGTTCAGACAGACATTGGTGACAGTTGTCTCACACCGCTCACCCGTATATCCCAAAACACAGTGACACAATCTCTGTAATTTCCCTTCTGTGATTGAAGTGCGGCATGTCCCTCCATGGAGGCAGGTTGAAATCTGGCAGGGGTCTGAATGCTGGCAGTATTCACCGACAAATCCTGACTGACACCTAGAGAGAGAAGAGAGGTGCAGAGCTCAAAATCGGTCACTTATGTCTTGTAGAGATGCCCGAAAGAACTGGCATACAAAACCCCACTTGGATCTGCATCTAAACACTCAATATTTGGCAAATATCTCAAAATCAAAGTAAAATCAAAAAGCAATTAAAAGTCAAAGCAGATAGCTAACCATGCACGTGGGCCTGTGCCCATACCCGAGCGGCTGCCTATCAAATCTATAAAGTTCAGCACATCCCACCGCTGCCACTTGTGCCATTCTTCCAGTGTCTGCGTGGGTTTCCTCCAGGTGCTCCGGTTTCCTCCCACAGTCCAAACGTGTGCAGGTTAGCTGGATTGGCCATGCTAAATTGCCTGTTGTGTTCAGGGATGTGTAGATTAGGTGGGTAATAGGGGGGATGGGTCTGGGTGGGATGCTCTGAGGGTTGGTGTGGGCTTGTCCGGCCGAAGGGCCTGTTTCCACACTGTAGGGATTCTATGAAATTGCCACAGAGGAGAATAGGGAAGATGTTTGAAAAGATTGCCAGGCAGAGGAAGAACATGAAGGAAAGTCAAAGTGACATTATACCCTTAACATGTTGTACAATAGACAAATTCGTGAAACTGCAGTCCCTTCTCACATATGCACATTCTGAAGAAAAAAAAATCCCTTTTATCAGAATTATCTTCCTTGTGTTTAGATTCACTTCCAAACTTGAACAATTGAGAAAGTGTGTCATCTTGTGCCAGGCTTCACTCTGTGCATCCCAACACCAGCCACCGTAAAATGCGACTAACTGTATGCTCCATGGGAGACTAAGTCATATAGCTATAGAGATGTACAGAATGGAAACAGACCCTTCCTTCCAACTCGTCCGTACCAACCAGATATCCCAGATAAATCTAGTCTCATTTGCCACCATTTGGCCCATATGCCTCTAAATCTTCCCAATTCATATAGCCATCCAGATGCCTTTTAAATGTTGTAATCATACCAGCCTCCACCACTTCCTCTGGCAGCTTGTTCCGTACATGCACCACCCTCTGCTTGAAAAAGTTGCCCCTTAGGTCCCGATTAAATTTTTCCCCTTTCACCCTAAACCTATGCCCTCTAGTTTTGGACTCCCCTACCATGGGCAAAAGATCTTGTCTATTTATCCTATCCATGCCCCTCATGATTTTATAAACCTCTAAAAGGCCACCAGTCAGCTTCCGATGCTCCAGGGAAAATAGCCCCAGGTTGTTTAGCCTGTCCTAATTGCTCAAACCCTCCAACCCTGGCAACATCCTTGTAAATCTTTTCTGAACCCTTTCAAGTTTCACAATGTCCTTCCTATAGGAGGGAGACCAGAATTACACACAACATTTCAAAACTGGTGTAACCAATGTTCTGTACAGCTGCAACATGACCTCCCAATTCATATACTCAATGCACTGACCAACAAAGGCAGTCCAAACACCTTATTCATTATCCTGTCTACCTGCGACTATACTGTCAAGCAGTCAGTTCATATCTCTTGCCTTGATCGAAGAAATGCCACACCTCATACTGAGCAGGTTAGAGATCCAAACAGACTGGGCAGACTAAATATACTTCTCTTTGGTCAGAGGAAGGTTAAACCTACATTGTCTCATGCCATGGCAGGTATGGCCAGTGCTCGAATGTAATGCATTAATCAGTACTGTTTTGAAAATTAATGTTTTTAAAGTATTCAGTTGACCTGTCTATCAGAGCACATTGCACAGGGAAACTTATGAAAGGATGTAATCTTTTTTGGCTTTAATCCTTTTCTCAGGGAATGTTTTTCTGCCATACACACTCACTGTTTAGTGTATCACATCACAAATACATGAAGCCAACATTAAAGTAGCTGTGTATCCATCACTGAAATAAATGAGGTACACCTTATTTCATGTGGCACTGTTTTGGCAATTAGCCAGTTTGGGTATTTGATGACCAACATGTGAGGAAACAACCAAACAATGTGGCAGATGTGACATTACACCACTGAAGTCACAAAGATCTTATTGTTTGAACTCCATCCCGCAGGCAAGTAACTGACCACAAGAGGGGTGGGGAAGGAGTAGGAAAGGGATGGAGGAAGAGAAAAGAAAGATACTGGATCGCTATTTAGGTATACCACAAGAAGCTGCTTTCATTGGGTGAGGGAATAAATAGGTCACCGAACACAAAGCTAACAAAACATGGATATCTGACTGAGCGTGAATTGCCTAAGAGAGCTGCCACCATTCATGGAAACAGAAACCAGCAACCATATCAACACAAAAAAAGGAATAGCATTTGAAAATCGAAATTAAGTTGAATCAAAAAGTTGGCTTGCAGGGAAGCGGATATTGGTTCAATATTTTCAAGAGCCTTCAGAATCCACTTGAAGATCAAAGCACTAGACTGGGAAAGAAGGTTTTGCATGAGAATCGTATTCTTATCAAATAATTTTACCACACCCTTATAAAACCAATTAGACCTTTGCTTAAAAGATATAAGTGATACAGACACTATTACAGAAAAGATAAAATAGGAATGCGACTGAACATCACAAAATGAGTTTGACCAATAACATGACAAAGGGACTCTGAAAATCAAAGAGATACTTACAGACTGGATGGCTAGTGAAACAGCAAATAAAGAAGAAGGTGCTAGACAGTGGGATGGATGACTCAATCTGGTTCTCCCTCTCCTGGGTAGCTTTTGGGCACAAAGCTCTGGCAAAGGTCAATGTAACATGACTCATACTACTACCATTTCCGTCAATAGGCTTAGAAATTTCAAAACTAATACAGGAGGGGCTTCACCATCAGAAGAAAGGAGGAAGTGCAAGTGAAGTGTTTCACAGACAATAGGGAATCTTGTAAAATGCACAATCTTCACGCATCTACTGCATAGAACGTTTAGAGCTCTTAATTGGCAAAGGAAGAGTTAACACTAAACATGAGTAACATTTTTAGTGACTGAATTATACACTTATCAAGTATCACTGCACTACACAGAGTCCTATTCTTTGGACTTGCATTCCTACACTCTGGAAAATGCTCACAACCCTGTTTCCCTCCTGCCCACGTCTGCCAGTTACCTGCTGTCATCACATTCCTTCAGTTTACACAGAACATCTGTTGAGAAACCTCTACCTGCACCAGCCCAGCTCATGTTCCTGCCCCACTCTCTCAGGCCGTGAATAAAAACGAGCTATGAAGCTGACATACACCTTAACAGGTGTCAAATACAAAAGATTACTTTGCAATCCAGTAATTGAATAGTTACAACATGGAGGAGGCTATTCGACCAGCTGTGGGCATGTGCAAGAGCAACCCAGGCAATTTCACTTGCTTGCCTTTTCCTCCGTAATCCTTCTGTATCTTTCTGCAATACCCTGTATCCAGGAACCTTGCCCTTTACAGTGGATGATCTCCTTTAATCTCACTGCACTGAGTCTACAGCTCACCATTGTTATTTACCACACCCCATATATTCACAAACATGTGCTGTAACTTGGCAATATCATATTTCCTCTTACCTTGACCTGGCAAGTGGCAAGCAGAAAGTATTCCATCTCAGATAACAAGGTGTAGAGCTGGATGAACACA